TTTCTTCTGCTGTAAATGTTCAGAAATTTCTCCTTCCAACAATTAGGTATTCTGTTCCCAAAGGAATAATTGCATTTACATGTGTTGTTGAATCATGCCATCATGCATGTTTTTATGCCCAGTGCAGAGATTGGGACACTGGCGACCAGTATGATGCCAGGAACTGGTCTGGAGTTCTTGCAAGTAAACAGTGAACCCATCTGAAATAGCACACTTTCTAATCAAATTCTAAGAAAGGCACAATGATAGAAGTTATCCACATGTATTATGTAAACAGCAATACAGGTTGCTAAAGCACAGTAATAAAACACACAAAAACATCAATTAATGCAGTCAATATGCACAATATACAGTACATGGACAATCCTCCACCATACAGCGCATACTGGAAGATGGTGGCCTGCAGATGTAGCACTGGAAATAGTGGTTTGAATTTAAAAATGCTCTGAGTCGACCCCAAAATACAAGAGACACACAACACATCAGATTGTATATAATATCTACCAAAATAATCTACCAAAATATATATCCACATCAAAACATCTCAGTAAATGTAAAGTGCAAACTATGCTGCAGCATTTATGTACAGGCGGAATATATACTTCATCACCATACACCAACCACCAAGGTTTAAGGCCTGGTTTACACCTATGCTTTTTGCTTTTGATATGTTTTATAATGCTTTTATAATGCTTTTTGCATTGTGCTTTGCATTTTTACATGTGTGTTTTTCACACATTTATACTGCTTTTTGCATTTTTTCCAGCTTTTTTTTTTTAATTGGAATTTTTTTTGTTGCTGGGTAGAAAAAAAACACATAAAATGGTAAAAATGGAGAAAAAAAACATGGCAAAAACGACATGCGTTTCAGCAGCTTCTTGCATTAAAAAAAAGTCCCTGACCCTTTGCAAAAATGCAGCAGCTTAAAAACACATAGATGTAAACATGTCCCATAGGAAACCATGTTAAATGGATTGTAGTGCGTTTCTGCAAAAAGCGCTAAAAAAACGCATTAGTGTGAACCAGGTCTAAATGGCCTCTTCTTGGCCAACCGTGTAAATAAGCATTATTACAATAATAATTATTTACAATGATTTTCCTTAAAGAACCTGTGAGGACAGGAATATGAAAGCTATAGCTGATGGTTGTTTTTTATGGTAGCAAGCTCCAGAACTGCCACTCTCATCCTAGCTTCACTTTCAAGTCACTGACCTGGAATAAGCATGCTGTCAGCAAAATCTTGTTTTGGGGTCAGTGACCATCTAGGAACTGAACTAGAATCAAGTTGAAATCTCCAGAGTCTGTACTATAAAAATAATCAACAAGCCTTCTCCCATTTTTCTGTCCAGGTTCATTGAACACAAATATAAATTCAAACTGACAATGATGTACATTTTGCATTGAGACAGGATTGTACCGGCACTTTATCTGTGCCATGTCCTAAGCTGGCCATACGTGGATCATTTTTTTTTTTTTGAACAGCCAGAAGGCTGATCCAAAAAGAAAAACTGACTTCCTCATACACTTATTTGAGGTGGATGGAGGAATCCTTCACGCTGCGCTATTCTATAGTGCAGTGGGGACAGCTCCACTGTCAGAATATACTGATCAGCACTGCAGCAGCCGACCGGCTGCAGGCACTGATTGAACAAACATTTACCAACACGAGAGGAGTCAGTCATTAAATCAACTCCTCTCAAATAGGAATGGCCATAGATGGATCGAAATTCAGCTGGTTCAGCAGGGCCAACTAAGGCCAACTTTAGAATAGTGTACAGGTGGCAATTCTCCACAGCAGTTGCAACACTATGGCAGTACAGATCACATTTAGTCTTGTAATGGAAGAAAAACCGTGCACCCTGTATCACCAGATATTTACTTTATTCCAGTACCACACCTAATTAAATACAGTAATGATGGCCATATGTACGCATATGCCATACCCAGTTTTGCAACTGATCAAAACATAGATGGCTGTATTATAAATGTGTAATAATGGTTAATAAATGAATAATAATCATGAATCAAAAGTCAGTGGCAGAGAATCTCAAGAAGTAGAAGCAGATTCCAGTACAGTGTAGGACATGTGTGGATCTCTGATTTTTCCCAACATCATTAAGGAACCCCCATACTTGGCCAGCCCAAGATTATGCCAGTTTTTATGTGAATATAAAGCAGTTCACTATGTATTCCCATACACTACATTTCCAAAAGTATTGGGGCAGCCCTCCAAATCTTTAGATTCAGGTGTTCCAATCACCTCCATGGCCACAGGTGTATAAAATCAACCCTAGGCATGCAGACTGCTTCTACAAACATTTGTGAAAGAATGGGTCGCTCTCAGGAGCTCAGTGAATTCAAGTGTGGTACCGTGATAGGTTGCCACCTGTGCAGTAACAACCTCCTCATGCGTTTTTTTTTCCTGGAGCAGAAGAAAAATATGTCCCCAAACCCCTACTCCCAGTACCTGTGTACAAGCTTGGCACTTCAAATGCTTCCATACCAGCTGGTGAAAACAGCCGCTTCTTCTAGTCCATGCCCTGGACAGTCCCTCATTAACATTTTCCTACCCAACATCATTTTTTAATATATATATATATATATACTATATTGCCAAAAGTATTGGGACACCCCTCCAAATCATTGGATTCGGGTGTTCCAATCATCTCCATGGCCACAGATGTATAAAATCAAGCACCTAGGCATGCAGACTGCTTCTACAAGCATTTGTGAAAGAATGGGTCACTCTGAGGAGCTCCATGAATTCCAATGTGGTACCGTGATAGGTTGCCACCTGTGCAATAAGTCCATCCATGAAATTTCCTTGCTACTAAATATTCCACTGTCAGCTATTAGTAGCATTATAGCAAAGTGGAAGCAACAGGGAAAACAGCAACTCAGCTACAAAGTGGTAGGCCACGTAAAATGACAGAGCGGGGTCAGCGCATGCTGAAACGCACAGTGAGCAGAAGTCGCCAACTTTCTGCAGAGTCAATATCTAAAGACCTCCAAACTTTGTGTGGCCTTCAGATTAGCACAACAACAGTGTGTAGAGAGCTTCATGGAATGGGTTTCCATGGCCGAGCAGCTGCATCCAAGCCTTACATCACCAAGTGCAATGCAAAGCATCAGATGCAGTGGAGACGTGTTCTCTGGAGTGACAAATCACGCTTCCCTGTCTGGCAATCTGATAGACATGTCTGGATTTGGCAGTTGCCAGGAGAACGGTACTTGCCTGACTGCATTGTGCCAAGTGTAAAGTTTGGTGGAGGGGGGATTATGGTGTGGGGTTGTTTTTCAGGGGTTGGGCTTGGCCCCCTAGTTCCAGTGAAGGGAACTCTTAAGGGGTCAGCATGCAAAGACCTTTTGGACAATTTCATGCTCCAAACTTTGTGGGAACAGTTTGGGGATGGCCTCTTCCTGTTCCAACATGACTGCGCTCCAGTGCACAAAGCAAGGTCCATAAATATATGGATGAGCGAATTTGGGGTGGAGGGCCTGCACAGAGTCCTGACCTCAACCCAAAAGAACACCTTTGGCATGAATTAGAGTGGAGACTGCGAGCCAGGCCTTCTTATCTGACATTAGTGCCTGACCTCACAAATGCGCTTGTAGAAGAATGGTCAAACATTCCCATAGATACACATGTCTGAACCTTGTGGACAGCCTTCCCAGAAGAGTTGAAGCTGCTATAGCTGCAAAGGGTGGGCCAACTCAATACTGAACCCTACGGACTAAGACTGGGATGCCATTAAAGTTCATATGTGTGTAAAGGTAGGGGCCCCAATTCTTTTGGCAATATAGTACAAATAAATCATACATAAGATTGATCTCTGTCATGATAAATGTGCACCAAATGTTGTCAGTGCAATAAGTGTACATTGAGATTAGGAGGTTACCTGGGAAAATATAAACCCATTCTAATTGGCGTCCTCACCTCTTATAACTATTGATACACTAAAGTTTACAGCTGAAGCTTTAGTATATCGAGCCCCATTTTATTTTAGGGCTCTTTCACACTCGCAGTGGAGTGCAATACCCTTTGAAGAGCAATCTGCATTTGGATCACTTTTCAGAGGGCATTTGACAGGTGGTGAGGAGGTATTATATAACACCTCCTCAATGCCTGATTTAACCTTATAACGTGGCACTACCACACCGCAAACATGCATTGCACACAGTTGTGGTGCTGCCTAATTGAGCTGAATGGCGGTATTGCTTGTCAAATTCTGCACTCCGAATTAGAAATGCCATGCCCACAAAGCAAAGCATCACAGCCACAATAATTGAACAGACCCAACTGTCTGTCATTTTACAGTCCAGGTTGGTGACCAGAGGATTATAAAACCACGGCTCAGCTGCCCGTTTTTACCATTCCTCGACCACCCATCTGAAAGAGACATGAATAGTCAAGTTTCAGGTATAGATTTTACCAACAGGTGACCTTTCAGGAAAAGTCTATAACTTGTCTGGTAACACCTAAGAGCTCCAAGACAGGCTTGTTCCTTGAAGGGATAAACCTGGGTGCCTATTCTTTTTTCCCTAAGCATTTGTACAGACACCAACATCCACTGATTTGGAACAGCAGATCTACAATGGTGAATGACAACACTTCTAAGCCAGCTTCTGCCTTTTATCTACAATATATTACACTTTATTGGGCTGATTTAATAAGACAAAAATGCAATTTTCAAAGTGCTGCATCCAATAACAACTAATCAATATTGCTCTTTTATTGATCTACTTTGATCACACTGAGAACCTAATTAGTGTACTTGGGTTACTGCACTTTGTATTGCCTTACCTTATTATAAAAGCCTATTAAAAAAAACATATTTGTAGGCCGAATCACAAAAACAATGAAAACAGTGATATAATAGGAAAAATAGGACATACAAAGGTTACTACTCCAATTGAAGCAATAGTCTTTTGGGTGGCGGGAGCCCCTTCCATGTCTGGGCCCCCTATCAGAGCTGCTGTATGTGGAGGGACTCCTCATGTCAATGGCAAGAATTAAATGGGAGTTTGGATACACCCCCGTGGAGCTCCATTGAAGACTCCGCCCACTCTATGACATCGCCGGTGGAATGGGCTGCACATGTGGCCAGCTTGTAGATCTCACCTGCAGTTAGGATGTGGCTCCACATATTAAAGTCAGAAATTTCACCCACAAAGGCTTGTGTGGCATCAAACCTTCCTCCCAATGTGTCCTAATTATTAAAAGGACAGTTTGGTTATTGGCAAGATAAACTCATTGTACAATATCTACTTAACAGTGTAACAATGCCTGGATTATTGTCATGGTATATACAGTGAAGGAAAGAAGTATTTGATCCCCTGCTGATTTTGAATGTTTGCCCACTCACAAAGAAATGATCAGTCTAAAAATCGAATGGTAGGTGTATTGTAACACTGAGAGACAGAATAGCAACAAAAAATTCAAAAGAAATGCATATCTAACAAATTATAAACTGATTTAATTTGTTAGTGTAACTAAATCTGCTAGTTCATCTAATACTCCCCTCCCTCCATACTGACAATGCTGCTGTCTGCTGTTCCCCCTTGTGCTCAATTGTCCAGAGCGGGGGCACTCTAACTCTGATGTTCATGGAGATACTGGGCAGATCACCAGGTGAAAACCTGAGGGGAAAAGGCTTAAAAAAAGAAAACGAATGCAGCCACTACATTTAATAATTGGTAAGCTTCAATATAATACATCTTTGGTTTTGGGTTTAACCACTTCTACCCCCTTCCTGCCCTTTACCCCCTTCCTGCCCAGGCCAATTTTCAGCTTTCAGCGCTGTCGCACTCTGACAATTGTGCGGTCATGCAACACTGTACTCATATGACATTTTTATAATTTTTCTACACACAAATAGAGCTTTCTTTTGGTGGTACTGTATTTAATCACCATCGAGGTATTTTATATTTTGCTAAACAAACTAAAAAAGATCAAAAATTGTTTTTCTTAGTTTCTATCATAATATTTTGCAAACAGGTACTTTTTCTCCTTCAATGATGTCCGCTGATGAGGTTGCACTGATGGGCACTGATGAGGTGGCACTGGTGGGCACTGATATGTGGCACTGATGGGCACTGATAAGAAGCAATGACGGGGACGGATAGGCGGCACTGATAGGCGGCACTGATGGACACTAATTGGAAACACTGAAGAGCACTTATAGGCAGCACTGAAAGGCACTGATAGGCAGCACTGATGGGTGGCACTGACTGGTATTACTGATTGGCACTGATTGGATGCACTTATGGGCATTGATTGGCAGCACTGACGGACACTGACTGGCAGCAGTGATGGAAACTGTTTGGCATTTAATAGGCAGCACTGATGGGAACTGTTGGGCTGCACTGATAATCAGGGCACTGATAATCATTGTCCTGATTATCAGTGTAGATGTCTCCTTTCACACTTGCCGGTTATTGGCAATACTTTCCTCACGCTGTCACAGCCGACTGTGACAGCATGATGAAAGTACTGCCGATAAACCAGCAAGTCGGTTTACATCGTGATCAGCTGTGATTGGGCACAGCTGATCACATGTATCACCCTCCTAGACAGCTAGGGGGAGCTAGGCTCTAATTTATAGCTAGGGGCTGAATAGCAGCCCAGGTGTTGTAGTCAGGAGGTCAAATTGTGGTCAGGGCTGAAAGGCTCTGCAGACCAGCTTTCTGGAACTTCCACCTGCACTAAAACTTTGGAGAAAGATCTAGAAGCAGTGGGCAGAGTTGAGGAGTGGCTGGTCTGCATTCTCAAGGGATCCTGGCCAATCCCCAACAGGAGGCTTGGCAAGTAGCCAGGCCAGCTCTTAAAAGTGTTTGAGTCTGCTCAGTAGCAGGAAGATTTCGGGTGGAAGATGGAGGAGTAAGGCTGGAGAACAGGAGCCTGGGAGGGAGCCCAGATGAGAAGGGGCTCACCTACAGGCAGGGAAGCTTGGAAGGAAGAAATCTTGGGAATTCATTGGCTCCCAGAACAAGGACCACTTATGCAGCTGAGAAGCAGCAGCCCAGCTAGAAGGCCTGGTAGCAGCCACCGATCCATCCGCTCATAGGACTGAGTGAGTAGGCCTGCACCCCCTGGGCCAGTAAGGGGAAGGAGCACTCTAGTGGGAATCTGGATTAGCTTACTGGATAGGCACTGTATCCCCTACCTAAGGACTCACCCAGAACAGCTGTATAAGGAGTGTCTAGGGTCTAGGGTGGTACTACAGGAGATGCTGGTTAGCTCTCCAAGAAGAAGGATCTGTTCTTTGTTGTTAAAGAGACTTGTACATAGTTCAGGAAGATTGTCCTCTGTTGCCATTACCCTTGGACATCCCATACAGCCCTTTTCCATACCCAAGTTCTAATCCCCTATTAAAAGACTGGTTACTGTCTCCTGGATGAAGGTCTGGATGAGAAAATGCATGTTGCTTGGCTGAGGACTATAGGGAGACCCAAAACTCCAGAAATGCCTAAGGGGTAGTGCTACACACATAGTAAACTGCCACTGTGATTGGCCCTGTACTATGATTTGTGATCAGCTGTGTCCAAAGAACACAGCGATCACAGAGAGCGTCTGGTGTGTGCCGGACCTATTATAGACATCCTCCCAGAACTGGATGACTATGCTGTAGCCATCATTCGGCTATAGTGCAGTTGGAAAGTGATTAATGACGCTTTGATTTTCACTTGGCTTCTCTTGATTTACTAAGATAAGTGCAATTTCACTTGAAAATTTCTAAAGTTCCACTCCTTTAGTAAAACACTATAGCCTGCAGTGCTGATCAAGTAAGGAAAATCTGCCAGGGCGGTTGTACAGAAGTTGATCAACTTCTGTACAACCACAGTGCTTATACATGGATCAAGTTTGACTGGGCCCTGCTGACCCAGACAAATTTTGATCCATGTATGGCCGACTATACTCTTTAGGTATATCAGTCTCTGTCTAACAATGTTAACATACTGTAGTTCTATTACCAATGTCTCCCTAAGATAGCAGCCATTTAATCATTGTCTGAGCCAATGAAATGGACATCTGTCATCTCAAGTCTATGAGCAGCTTTATAAATTTTAATTTACTATTAATACCTGTTCCTGTCCCAAGACAAAAAACTCCACCAGGTTTTATTGGATGCCAAGCTGCCAGGTTTTCTCCATTTCCTCGCCTCACACCCATCCAGGTAGGATTCCCATACACCATCTCTGGTTGACCAAGTGACACATACGTGATGCCACTTAGCATCATTGATGGCCAGTGGTAGCGTGGCAGCCTGTAAATAACATGTACAAATTGAAAGATTGGGTGTTATAAGTTGTACATATGGATTTTTCAAAACATATTACAAAAAGCAGGATCCTGGAAAATACTTCAATACATTTTTGTAACATACAGTATGTCTACTATTTTATTATTAGGCAGCTCAACATAGTGCTAGGTAACAAATATTCTTAAGCCTGGTACATACTATCAATCTTTTTTCGTTCAACTCAGCAGGCTGAACAAAAAAAAATTAAGAGCTCGGGAAGACCTCGCTGTACTAACTGTACAATATTAGTACAGTGATCTCCCTGCTGAGCTATTGTGTTCTGACAGGGGGAACCCCCCCCCCCCAGAACACACGTCAGCCATTGGCTGCCAGCACTGATCAGATGCTGGTTTTCCAACAGAAGCTGATTTCGGTAAAACCAGGCTGTCAGATTTCTCATGTGATTTATTGCCTCTAGCAGCAATTACTGTGTTCTCCCAGATGAGATGGTTCCCCCTCCATGCCCCCCTGCCAGGAGAAACGCAATAGCTCTGCAGGAGGGACTCCCCCACCAACACAGTCAGTGGTTGCAGGAAAGAAAATTGCATTTTCTATGGCCGGCGTTAGCTTTAACATTAAAAAAACACTTAAGCTGGCCATATACTGTTTGAATTTTGGCTAATTTTGGTTCAGCTGAAATTTGAGCACCGTATGGTCCTTCCGGCACTGCTCCATTCAACAAAAGTCAATTGTTCAATAAACTTTTGTCTCAAGAGCCTGTCAGAAAACTGTTGACTGAACAGTGCATACATCCAATCAGATGCAGGCACTATTCAGGTATTTTGGCAGGGAAACCCAGCAGAGGGGATCCGTCAATCTGTGCTGTAAGCATGGATGGAGGAATCTGTTAGATTTCTTTTGTCCATCCCGCACTCTGAATTAAAGAAATCGATATGTGTATATCCAGCTTTACTTTATGCCCTCAGTAAATCTGTCCTAACGGTGGTGACCAATAGATGCTTTAAAATTTTGAAAGCTGAATGAGGCTTAGTGTCGGAAATGTGCCTGAAAGTGATTCTAAAGGATTTTTTTTTTAATTTTTAAATAACAAGCATCTCTATACTTACCTGCTCTGTGCAATGGAATTGCACAGAACGGACTTGAACCTCCTCTTCTTGGGCTCCCCACCGGTGCTTCTGGCTCCTCCTCTCTGTCCAGTGCCCCCATGAGAAGTTGCTTTCCATGGAGCACTCATGCGTGCTTGCTGCTGAGCCCCACTGCTGTGTCCATTGACGCAGACAGCAAGGAATGAATTAAGGTAAAAAAGTGTTTAGGATTTAGAACCAGTTGAAGGTGCAGTGAAAATGTCAACTTTGAGAGAAGATAAGGGTCTTGTAAACAGTCTGGACCTGTGATCCAGGGTCAGGTTCGTAGATAGGATAACACTGAACCAAAGAAAAGCAATTGCATCAATTTAGAAAAATGTGTAAATTTTGGGTGAGAAGATATTTATAAATCAACCCCTAAAGCCAGCCCTACATGGATAGAAATTTGGCCAGAAGAGCAGGTACCGGCTGAATTTTGATCCATGTTTGGGCACCCCCGTTTGGACAAAAGTCGACCTATCAGTCAACTTGCAAGTTTGATGGTAAATTAAAAGGAGTTTATTGAGAATAGCGACAAGTATATCAAGTCAACATATTTCAGGAAAAAAGGGCTCTCCCTTCTTCAGGGCTGTTACTGCACGCTGTTAAATGGGTTTGCTGCCCCTGGAAACTCAGCTGTCACTTCCGAAACGTTGCAAATACTTTGCAAATACTGTATATAACTGGCGTAGGAATTATTCCCATTTAATAGTGTGCAGCCCTGAAGAAGGGAGAGCCTTTTTGTCCCAAAATGTGTTGCCTTGATATTCTTGTCGCTAGTCTCAATAAATGCCTCTTAATTTACCATTGAACTTGCATTCTTTTGGACATCAGACATGCTTTCTTTCCTATTATTCCAAGTCATACTGCACATGTGAACATGTCTCCCATCACCTCCCATCTCAGTAAGGTCTCTGTGGACACCCTAGGATGTAGTTCACCTTTCAGATTGAACAAGTCTACCAAAAATCCTGCACAGGCCTTGGCAAATAGAGTAGAAGTTTTTCAAGTGTTTAAATGTCCATCTCTATCTTGTTGTGAATAGTTTATCAAAGCTACATAGAGTTTTACCTTGTCATTAATAAGCAATTCCATTGGGTTGTTACCCCATTCAATAAGCACCACCTCATTGGCTTGGCCTGGAACGGAGTATGAGAAGGGTGTGCCCACACCAGGTGATGAATTAGACTTTATCCACAAGCAAATGGTGAATGCAAAAATCTCATGATGAAGAGTCCTTTTGACCTTGGCATACATGTAATTTGTTCTGAGAGGGAAACTGACTCTAAAGTCATTGGACTTCTTGTCTGATTTATGTCCTGTTGGATGGAATAGAGAATAAGGAAGAACACATTTGTTATTCACCCTTAAAACAAATATCATCATCAAATACTACAATCCATAAAACCATTGCTAACTCTTTGTTGAGTGATTAACTATGAATTGTAGTCTAGTTAATAGTTAAACTCTTGTGGTGGATAATTAACCTTTTGTAAATGACACAGAACTGCACTGGATACTACTGTGCAGAAAATGTATGAATATTTACCTGTTATTTAACAAAAATATCCAATACTAAGTTGGAATTAAAGTAGACCTATAGGCAAAGCTGCTTTAATTTTGGATAGAGTAAGGGAGAGTTGTAACCCCCAGGTTTTGTTATGCTATATTTGTCACATTAAGGATATGTGTTTGTCACAGAAGCTTTCCCTTCCTGTCCCATAATTAATACAGAGAGTGGGAGGAAATCCTCCAAAGTGAGGGAATTCCTGGTTGTCACCAGGGTCACCATAGCTATAGCTAGAGTCCCCATTGGAAGTTTTCCACACTATTCTTGTTCTGGTGACAAACCAAAATTTGGAATTTCCTTTCACTTTCACTCTCGGTAATAAAGGTAAACAGGACAAATAGAGAGGATAAATCTTCCTAATGGAGGCACAGACAGTAACAATAACCTGACAGGTGTTCTAACCCCACCCCACTCTATCTAAACCTAAAACTTGTTAGAATTTAAGGCTGAATAATTTTCTGTATAGGCTAATAGAAGGGCAACAATGACCGATAGGTGGTTCTCTTTCTTTTAGGTTCATATCTTTATTACTGAAAGTATATATACTATATTGCCAAAAGTATTGAGACACCCCTTCGATGTATTCAGGTATTCCAATCACCTCCATGGCCACAGGTATATAAAATCAAGCACCTAGGCATGCAGACTGCTTCTACAAACATTTGTGAAAGAATGGGTTGCTCTCAGGAGCTCGGTGAATTCAAGCGTGGTACCATGATAGGTTGCCACCTGTGCAATAAATCCATCCGTGAGATTTCCTTGCTACTAAATATTCCACGGTCAACTGTTGGTGGTATTATAACAAAGTGGAAGCAACTGGGAACAACAGCAACTCAGCCACATAGTGGTAGGCCACGTAAAATGACAGAGCAGGGTCAGCGCATGCTGAAGCACACAGTGCGCAGAAGTCACCAACTGTCTGCAGAGTCAATAGCTAAAGACCTCCTAACTTTGTGTGGTCTTCAGATTAGCACAACAACAGTGCATAGAGAGCTTCATGGAATGAGTTTCCATGGTTGAGCAGCTGCATCCAAACTTTACATCACCAAGTGCAATGAAAAGCATAAGATGCAATGGTGTAAAGCACACCACAACGAGTGTGACAAATCACGCTTCCTTGTCTAGCAATCTGATGGATGTGTCTGAGATTGGTGGTTTCAAGGATAACAGTACTTGCCTGACTCCATTGAGCCAAGTGTAAAGTTTGGTGGAGGGGGGATTATTGTGTGATGTTGTTTTTCAGGGGCTGGGCTTGGCCCCTTAGTTCCAGTGAAGGAAACTCTTAAAGCGACGCTCCACCCAATAGGGGAAGTTCCTCTTTAAGCCTTTGTCCCCCTCTCCTCATTAAGGATTGACACCTTTGGGGAGTGGGGGGAGGGGGAGCAGGTACCCGAATTTGACAGGTACCTGCTCCAACTTCCGCTACGATTGCCTAGGTGATCTGAAGTGTAAGTTGTCCTCCTCCCTTCCCTCCCTGTAGTCTTCTGGGACACGAGACAGGTCCCAGAAAGCTACGGGGCCATTCGCAAAGCACAGCGCTTCTCGTAAATGCACAGTGGGCACCCAAGCTGCAAGCTGTCACAGCCAGGTGCCCACACTGAAGATGCCAGAGCCAGGGAGAGAAGACGGCTGGTGAAATCAGCGGTGATGAAGACACCGCTGGACCGAGGGACAGGAAATTGACTATATTTTAAAAGTCAGCAGCTAAAATTTTTGTAGCTGCTGACTTTTATTTTATTTTTTTTTAGGTGGAACTTTGCTTTAAGGTGTCAGCATACCAGACATTTTGTACAATTTCTTGCTCCAAACTTTGTGAGAGCAAGGCCTTCTCGTCCGACATCAGTGCCTGACTTCACAAATGCACATCTGGAAGAATGGTTAAACATTCCCATAGACACACTCCTAAACCTTGTGGACAGCCTTCCCAGAAGAGTTGAAGCTGTTATAGCTGCAAAGGGTGGGCCAACTCAATACTGAACCCTGTAAACTAAGACTGGGATGCCATTAAAGTTCATGTGCGTGTAAAGGAAGGTGTCCCAATACTTTTGGCAATATAGTGTATGTAGCAGTTTTGTTCATATCCTCTTTCTTTATGGTCACAAATAGGACTATTACATACTGTTTTATTAGTTCTCTTTTTTGGTCAGGTAAACATAAATTATTGAATATCTGTGTAGCGCTACCCCCCCTCGGGAGCCACTTGATAATTTTGAGTTCACTGTTCTGCTCCCGAACAACCTCAGTTTATTTGACACACCTGGTTAAATGGGATAACTGCAAACACAAGTGCTAAGACACCAAAAAGGAATAACTTTGCAGGATAATATTTTACTACAATAAAGTCAACAGGTGGTAGATATTGTAAAATGTGGGTACTCCCCAAATTGTAGAGTTTAGCATTAAGCAGAGTTACAAAGATATGCAAGAAATGACCATGACAATGGATCAGACTGTAGGGCCAACAGACCTTAGGTGGACCTATGATCTCAGGAGCAAGAGGGGGAAGAAGAGACCTTTCATCAGTCAGCTCTCTCTAAGCCCTGATGAGTCCTTAAGGTACGGGTGTCTGTGGTCTTCAGCTAGCTATGAAGGGGCCCAAATGTATTACTGTGCAATGGCAAGCGGCAAAGTGAATAGAAAAGACAGGGTATTTACCAGCAAAGGGCCTTTAACCCCTTCACGCCTAAGGGTAAAACAAATCTAAATGCCTAAGCACAATTTTGCAACATTGTCATGTGTTAGTAAAACCCTACATATCATCACAACTACTTTGTACATCCAGGTGGATTAATCCTTTTTTTTTTTTACAGGACAAAGTGGGCTTTTGGTGGTAAATGGTAATGGATATCTCCTGATTTTGTTTTATTATCAAAGGAAAACTGGGCAAATATAGTAAAAAAAAAAAATTTTTTTTTTAATTTAGCTGTGTGTTTCTTGTTACTACCATAACCTACCACCAAAGAACAACCCAAAATAAATTTTCCAGCTCTTGATGATCGCGGCGATACCATATATGTGTATGTTATTTGTTGTTTGTACCCATAGTACAGCCCAGAAACAATAGTGCACATTTTGTTTTTGTCTTTTTTTTACCTAAAACACACTGACACTAACTGACACTAATACCAATTTTTTTTTTAAATCCTGACCTTTGACCTTGAACCAAACACTAACCTGGCACTGAACTAGATCAACCCTTGATCTAGGTATTTTTTATTTTATGCCCATGTTCAGTACCTTGGTAAGTATCCGTTTGGTAACCGGTAGTTAAATTTTGTGTTAGAAAATAAGAACATCAGTAAAATGTAATTCTTTATAATCAGAATTATAACAGGCTGGAAGTTCACAACCCTGCCCTTCGCTACATTCATACTTATAATGTCATTTAGGCAACTGGTTGGAAATCTTCTCAAAGCTAGCAAACAGTGCCAATGCAGTTTCTTGGCTATGCATGCCTATTAATATTATACAGGACTTAGATTGTAAAGCAAACTCTTAGTGCAATATAACAGGAGTTAAGAGGGCCAAGCTCATAAGAGCTTGTAATCTAATAGGGGGGAAGTGGTACAAATGGTTATAACTGTGGGGTATGAGCTGATGGAAGAGTTAAAAGTTCAGTTGTTGAGGAGGCATGATAGGTTTTCCTGAAGAGATACGTTTTCAAGGATCACCTAAAGGGAGCCAGAGTAGGAAATAGACAGACAAATTGAGGTAGAGAGTTCCAGAGGATGGGAGAGGATCTGGAGAAGTCCTGGAGGAGAGCATGGAAGGAGAAGACAAGGGAGCCAAAGAGCAGGAGGTCTTGGGAAGAGCAGGGGAGGATGGTTTAGGTGATATTTGGAGACAAGATTGGTAGTGTAGCTCAAGGCAGAGTTGGGGATGGCTATATATGTATTATATGGTTCCATGCCTGTTCTCCTGCCCACTCATCAGATGTTGCCAGTGGGGTTAAGCCAATGGTTCCAACACAGGAGTTCATACATTTTTGCTTAATACTGCCCTAGAGACATCATTATGCTGATACATGTATACAGTAGAATGTGATTTGTGAAATGGGTTGTAGAGAGCAGGAACAATTGTGAATAATTGCAACAGCATGATCAAGAGAATGTTGTATATCCATAAAGAAAAACTGTGCTAAACCTATTCTGGATCTAAGTTTGCCAAGTAATTACAATACATTTAAAAACAAAAATAATTTTCAGTGAAAATGCTTTTTATAGTTCGACCACCATGCTGCAAAGTATCAAATACTCTAAATGTATAGAAATTTGTATTAAAGATCTTGTTATGATTTTGTAATAATAAACCCTGCAATCAACTGAGTTGGCTGTTTTGTCAGTAACATAGCAGTGCAAAAAAAAAAAAGAGAAATAAAATAATTCCAACAGGTAAAATGTCAATTGCCTATTGTTTAATGCTGCATTTTGTCAAATCTATCATCACTGAAGGCATATTTTCAGATTTCAGCTTCTATTTTAGTAGCGAAGGTTAGGACGCAAACATCTTTTTGGGTGCTACAAACAGCATCCCCCCTTAATCTAATACCAGCCACTGTTATGAGATATTGAGCATAAGGTCCTCTTAATATTATTTCTAAACTTCAGCAATTTACGTGTTGGCAATGCATCTGAATGTCAAGAGGCAGCACAAACACAGTATACAGGCAGAACCACTCTTCGTTTGGCCAGAAGTGCTAGAACTGTTGGTCATCTTGTAGTACTGATAGTTTTCTCATCAATATCCATAAATTTATGGATACTGTACTAACCTCAGCCATAGACATATCCTGATTTCCAAACAGTTTAGAAAATAAATTTTTTTCTTCCTTCAGAATAAAGCAGGTGGTCCAGATCAAGTCAGCATCTCAGGGCTGACCCGTTTTATTCACCTGAGATAATCAGAGGATGATTAGTAGTAGGGACTGCCTGCATGTGTATGCACAATAACTGTTGTAAAATACATTGTTCTGCGGTTTACTCATGTCTGGATATAGTATTGACATCTAATAACTATACAAAGCCAACTAACCTTGCTTCAGGGTGGGTAGTGCCCATTGCTAACTATCACAAGCTAGAAATAACTCTGCAAGTGCTAATCCAAAGGGCTAGAGTTTTTTAAAAATATTTATTTAAAAAAACTGGGAGGTATACAATATGAATGAGTATAATATCCCCTATTAAGTTAAGATTACTGAAAGATTAACCAATAAACACTCAGCATTGCAGTTACGCATGGCACTCTTGGACTAGTATCTAGGGCAGCACCACAGTACAGTAACTTAGATTATTGCTTGGGGATATTCGCTCAGATTGTTGGTGTCCTGTAGGGTGGATGCCATTGAAATTAGGAGAGTGCAGCCTGGGGGTGGGTTTGTCCAGACCCAGAACATGCAAACAAAATGAGAGGAGGATTTCTGACTGACGCACACCCGACTATGTAGTAGACAGGTAAAAGCAGCCCCAGCTTAGTCCATCAAGGCCACGCCCCCAACACATTTCACCCCAGGGTTTAATCATGAAGGTCCATGATTAATCCCTGGGGCGGGGTGAAACACGTTGGGGGTGTGACTTTGATGGACTGGGCTGAGGCTGCTTTTCCTGTCTACTACATGACGGGGTGAGGTGTATGGCAGTCGGGAAACCTCCTTTCATTTTGGCCACAGCAAAGTAATTACAATGTGTATTCATGTTGCATCTCTTTTATGGCCACCTGTTTGGGGGTACAGTTAAACATAAAGAGGCAGCTGCTATAAAGTTGGAAGGAATCACAAAACCATTTCTGGCTAAAGCAATATGCAGCCATCTCTATTTTTTCAGCTGATTGCAAAACTGTATAGACTAGACATGTGTGATTCCTTTTCTTTATTTCATTTTTGCAGAATCCGATGTATCCAACTCTCTGAATAGACACAGAAACAAATGGCAACGAATCCGGAAAAAAGTTATAATAAAATTAACAAATTCATACGTTTCATTTGAATGACGTCACATGATGCGATAGTAGTTCAAGGCCATGAGGAAATTATTTCAATTTTCAAATTTGTTTGATAATACGGATTTGGATAACTGATGGATCCAAATTTTGTTCCATTTGTTAATTCGGATGCACATGACGGCAGTCGATATTGTCTAATAAGCTCATGCCATTTCTCTTTGTGTGTTGGACTAGAATCCGAAAATATTAAATCCTTCATATTCGAATCCATCCAATTTAATAATATATCAAATATATAGCAATTTTCCTCAAAGACTGCAAAATTTTGCAAAGCCACCCAGACCACTGAAAATACAAAATGAATGCTGAAGATACGAAACAAATCCCTAAAACGAATCAGTTCAACATAACGAATATGACAAAACAAAATTCTTCAATGAACGAATGCATTGGAAATGAAAAAAAAATTTCCTTGTACACATGTCTAGTATAGACTGCTGGTACCTTTGCATGCAAACCAGCCAGTTACCTCTATCATACAGTTTGAGATTTAATGCACACCACAAAAATTATGTAACATGGTTGGCATCAGAATGGGAGGAGCCTGACAAGGTTATCAGAATTTACACTTTACACTTGCCTCGGGCAAAATGACTTCTTTATACAGGTCTGGGGATATTGTACTCCACAGAGTCCTAAACAGAAAAATGAAAGCTAAACCAGGACAACATAAAAAATAAATCCTACAATGGACCTAGCATCAGGTATTTTTCTTTTAGTAAATGCTTGCTAACTATTCTGTATTTTATTATTTATTTATTACCTTTCACAGTGATCACATTACAGTACAATACACAGCAAGTTTATTTATCATCACCCTCAAGGAAAAAAGACCCATGCTTTCTGGACGGTTCCAAGGAGCACCTTCATCACGGCTTAGAAATGCATAAGGGCTTAAATCTGGCACACTGTATAGTCAAAGTAATTCTTGGATGGGAACTTGCGCTGATGTAAAGCATTTGCTTTCATTTATCAGGCTGCCAGAATTATGACTGGAAGCAAATACATTGTAATAGCCCAATTTTTCCTCCAAGGACTACATTGATTATGGTCCAGATTTTAGCCCTTCCTACATTCTTAAGCCCTGATGAAGAAGGCCTTGTGGCACCCCAAAAATATTTTTTAATCTGATAGTAATGATATTGATAATGGTAATACACTTGATTTGGATACAACAGTGACAGACAGCCACACTCAGTACATGCGTACAGTATATTGCTATGGCATGTATCTCTAAACACTGCAAGTACTGAAAATGCCTGATATGACTGATGATCCTGCCAGAAATATGGACTGAAAAATATAAGTTGTCATGTTGATCTCCCTGTTTGCTTTGGCTAAATTACTTTGCCGATCATTGTCTAGGCATAAGTACAGAGATAGGAAATCTGACTCTGACTTCCCTTAGTAGCATACTTGTTTTTGGTCTGTGACTTGGAAGTACTGGGGCCAGGAATATAGCATTTTCAGGAGGTTGGCAATGGCAGCACACAAATTTATTACTTCAAACATGTACTTCAATTAAAATAGACAAAGTGATATCATTTCCTAGCTGTACAGTGTGGCAAGTGCATGTGCATCACAAAAGTGGTTTAACGGAATTACTAAAATTTTCACAATTAAAAAAAAAATAAATTACCAGTCTACCCAAACTGATATTTCTGTTTTTGATAAATGTTGGGAAGGTAAACCTTCTAACAGGCTTCACAGTATACATTTTTATGGGGAGTGTCCCATAATTCATGTAAGATATTTATTTTATATAATGGAGAATACATAGAAATAACTAAGAACGCACAAAGGTGGGTGAGAACAGCCTAAGCTATAAACGGGAGAGCTTGTGTCTGGAAACCAGTCCACCTCCGGTTTTAGTGGTCTGACCCGTTAACATAATATGAGCATATTAAGCAATAGTTCGGCTAAAAATTACCTTGCCATAAATACGAATACGTACCCTTTTCTTTGTTGTGTATGGCTGCATCTGTCTTGTGCCGTACTGAGTCTTCATGTGTTTGATCGTGTTCTTTATTCTGGTGTTCTGAGCTATTGTGTTTCTCATAGATCTGATGTTCCAGGATACTGATCTTCTTTTGTAAGGTATCTTTCAGTGAAGTTGAAAACAGAGAAGAGTTTCTATTTCCCTGAAAAAGAACAAAAACATCTCATATGTACACACTGTAGATCATACCTTGAAGGTCTTTTTAGTATGAAGGAACTAAAGCAAGGTACTGGACCAAAGGAATAGCTAAAACCATGTGATTTAGAAGGTTAAGATGTCCACTTATATTTATTTCTACTATATATTTCACCACTTCAAGTGCTTAATAAAATTTGGTATGTTTGGTCAAATGGAAAATAACAGAGGTTGCCTTTCCCGCACTCTGTCATCCATAGCCAACAGATATCACAGGACCAACTATAAATTCCTAATCCTTTGGTACAGAACACCTACGACCTTGCAAGTTTTTTTTTTTTAGTCCAATCTCTTCTAGTGTCTGTTGGAGATGGCAAGAACATGAAGGGACACTCCTTCACATTTTATGGTTGTGCTCCAAACTCACTGGTCCTCCAAACTCTGGTCCTCAGTTACCCAGATTATTAAGAAATCGATCAGACTCCCCCTCTACAACGACCACCTAGCACATCTTTTTCACCTCACCTCCTTATCCAGAAAGGTTTACGCATCTTTGCTACTTATCTATTTTCTTAATGCTGCAAAAGCTAGTATCCCACCTTTATGGAAGAGCTTCTCACCCCTAACAATTGGATAGTGGTTTTCTTTAATAAAGCCAATCCTGACTATAGAGGATCTTACATCCTAAGTGAAAGATCGAGAGAAACAGTTCAGACAAATCTGGTTTTAGTGGATTGATTACAAAATTTCCCCTGAAAATAAACTCCACCTACCATCTTCTGACTCTCAAAACAATTTTTCCATAAAGACATACACCCTCTGGATTCTTGGCTATACTGACAGTCTATCTTATAGTGTTGCATTAAAAAAAGGAAAATAACAGGTGTTTCTGGTAGAAAAAGCATAGCTAGCTACTGACTGTTCTTCTTTCCTACCCAGTAGTTCCTCTTTTGATCTAATGAAAAGACCACTGTTAAAAACATATTCTTTAGCTAAGAAAAGTGTAATACTACACTAAATCTGAATTAATATATTTGCTATTTGAAATCCATAAAGAAAAAAGTAGTGGTAAAAAAGCTGTAGATTAAACCATTAGTATTAGTTCCTCATGGTCCGTATAACTGGGAGTTGAGTGTTTGGCTACATACTTTGTGAGAAAATGCATCCTTCTATCTTATCTCAGAAAGTTGAAAGTATGTAAAACAGAAAATAAGTTATGGTGGAGACTTCTGAACTCATAGACCCAGGAGTGACTGAGATCCCTATACTGACTATAGTTATGCCCTTGCTCTTGATACCACAGGAGAAGTCATAAATCCAATATAAAAGGTGAGGCAGAATAAGAACTATAAAAGAAGTCAACCCAGAGCATGAATTATATTTTTTTACAGCAGTTTCTTCTTGTACTGCAATCTTGGTACTGCATAGATGGTTTAAGTTCAGGGAAAGGTGAGCATCCGGAAGAATTAGGGTTAATTAGTTAGTATTTGGCTTAGGCTTTCAGTGTTTTAGGGGTGTTAAGGGCTTTATGCTGTAGATTTAAGGTTAAGTGTCAGGGTTGGGAAGATTAAGTGTAAAGAAACAGGTCTAAGTGTGTCAGAATCCAGAACTAGTTTTATATAGAGAAAGGAGTGGTTAGAACTTGTGGTAGGGTTTTGTTATCTGAAGACCATATGGGAAGCGAAAGGAAATCTCTCCAAAGCGATGGAAAATCCTCTCTTAGACAACTGTTACCAGATCAGGTGTCCTTTTTAGAAGATTTCCTTTCTATTCCTGTTCTGGTGAAACTGTAATTGATGTTTACATCACTTTAAGTCCTGCTGACAGCAAACACTAGGATAAATATAGAGGGCAAATCTCCCCAAAAGGGACACAGACCGCAACTCTTCCACACTATATCTAAAGCTAAACAAAAAGTTTGGGGCTTTAGATGTACGTTAATACCAAACTGAACTGTTTAGATCAGCTATATACACTCGAGGTCTAAACAGATGATGTACAAAGTCTTATAATTTTTGTTCTTTAGAAAGCAGCTATAGCTTGAGTAGAGAAACCTTCCTCCTGCTAGCCTGGTGCAGAGAAAGTCCCTTGTTCACTTTGGAAGCACAGAACTCTTCTGATGTCTGACATGCCCTGCTCAGTCAGTCCTAGAGGTTGCTGCTTAACAGGGAGCATGTCTTATGTTGATTGTGGAGTTCCTGGACTGACAGAGCAGGGTACATGTAAGACTTCTGCAGAGAGACCACTCATAGAGCTAGGGTCCTTCTCTACAGCATTCTGGTAGGGGACAGGGTTTTCTTCTCGGGTTGTGGTTGCTTTCTAAAGCTCCATGCACACTGGACTTTAAAAAAAACACCAGTTTCCTTGGCAGAAAAAAATGCTGACAAAGAATGTTTTTGAACTCTGTTTAGGTGAGTTTAGCATTTTTTTCTGCCAGAAATCTCCAATCAAAAACGCAAACCAGAGGGGTTTTTTTCTGCCTCTGAACATTGAGCCTAAAATATGCATCTAATCGTCCTAATGTGCATGGACACATAGGATAACATTGAGCAGCTTCTACAGGCAAAACACACAACTCCTGTAGAAGCAGCAATTGTTAAGCCAGTGTACATGGAGCCTAAGGAAAACAAACTTTGAACTCTTATTATGATGCATCTGGACTGTATTTACCTGATTTAAACTTAAAGTTTATTTGGGTTGGTGGTAAGTATGTAATGTTGAATGGAGGTTGAAACTGAATTCCAGGATGGAGAAAGAGTTTCCCTTGCAGTGGGGCCAACCAGGGCCGTGGATAAGGGGGTACCACCAGTGCTTCTGTACGGGGCCCAGGCCAGCTGACGGGCCCTGGCTGCTCGGTGATTTGGATGTGGGCAGAGAGGGTGATCGTTGTGGCAGGGGGGCAATTACTGGAACTGATCCCCTGTATGTCTCTCTCTGCAGCAGCTAAAAGCTGACTTCTTCTCTGGCTTTCAGGTGCTGCAGAGAGAGCCATAATAGGGATGGGTTACAGTAATACTCCCCACCACACCCATCACCCTCCCTGTGCACCATACATTTCTCCTTGCTGCCCAGGCCCCCCTGTGCTCCCCTACCCCCACAGTTCTCCGGGCTTCCCTCCTGCAGCTGTGAGCACATAACAGGATCCTTCAGGTTGGAGAGTGGGGGAAGGGTCCAGTAAATAAGTCACATTTACCAGCCCCTTCCTTTCTTTAAACTCTTCGCGCTGGTGCCTCCCGGCCCTTTAAGAGTTTCAGAAACAGGGAGTTTTAGGGTCATTTGACCGCCGTGATTCGCCGTCACGGTGATCACATGATTGGAAAAGGTCCCAATCAAAAGGGAAGACCGGGACGTTTTCGTGAGTCACAGACATATGTGCTGGGAATGCGCAGGGCGCACGCTCTCAGCACATATGTATTTTCTAATTGCACGCAAATATGCAGCCATTCGGCGTCAAGGTCCAGATGCCGAGAGGCCGCATATTTGCATGCAATCAGTATCAAGGGGTTAATGAACACAATGAGTGATTGGTACCACTCACTCACTGTGTTCATTCGTAACTAAAGCATAGTCAACTGTTTTTTTTTTGGGGGGGGGGGGTTTGGAAGGGGGGCCCTGTCAGATTGGCTGTATGGAGCCCTGTGGTTTCTAACAGCAGCCCTGGGGTCAACTACACACTCCAAAGGTTAAATGCTCATTTGGTCTGGAAAGACTGGAATAAGGTGAAATACTTACCCTATTCCTTACTTCCTCAGGCTTTCTCCGCTTTTTAAAACTAGTCCCCCAAAGTCAGTCCCTTTTACTGCCAGACCGGTTGACCTTATCACATACAATGTGTATATATATATATATATATATATATATATATATATATATATATGTGTATATATATAATATATATATATGGAATGTTCTCTATAAGAGCTGAAGCAAGGTGTAACAGAAACAATCTTACACTTACTCCAACTGTATTTACTATCAAGGGATTAGTTCTATTCAGCCTGATAACCGGATAACGTGTTGGAAGCTTTAATTTCTCATGGAATACAAAAAATGTTGGGCCATTTACTGTGCAGGCCCATGGTGAGTTGACATTTGGTATTATTTCCTTTTGGTTTATTAATTCAAATAATAACGGTCCTATCCCATTTATAAAAACACTGATTTACTAAAGGAGTAGAGAATTTTCCCTTTCAAAATGAATTTCTTTTTGCATAATTTCCACTTATTGTAGTGAATGAGGTGAAACAAGGTAAAAATGAAACCCAAATGAAGTGCAAAAAAAAGAAAAACTGGATTTTTTATTTGCACACTTTTTCATTACTGAAGTCAGTAAAAGTTCACTTAATTTACTGAGCTAAGGTAAAATCCACTTTAAAAGTGAACACGCTCTACTGTATTAGTGAATCAACCCCAATCGAAACAAATATTTTACTAAAGGTTTTGTTTAATTACAAATATAAAACTCCCTATCAGGGTACCATAATCCGTAACATTATCAAACCATATTTTCATCATTAAGCCTTTTCAACAGACCCATAGATGCATAAACATCCAAACTACTATGGACCATGTTAAAAACATTTGTAACCAATGCCAAAGAATCTGGCTAAACCCAACGACAATGGCTGAAAGTGACTCTAAATTAAAGCGTAGCTCCACCCAAAAGGGGAAGTTCCGCTTTAAAGACTGGTCCCCCACTCCCCATTAAGGATTGGCACCTTTGGGGAGCAGGGGGGAGCGGGTACCCGAAATTGACAGGTACCCATTTCCACTTCCGCTGCGATTGCCTAGGCAATTGGAAGCGGAAGTTGTCCTCCTACACTCCTTCCCTGTAGTCTTCTGGGACACGTGACAGATCCC